ATCCCTTTTCTCGAAAAAAAAAAAAACTCATCTATGAATCCACGAGTTCATCCGTTGTTGAAACGCCCATGACTTGTGCTACCCTCATGCACGGTGGAAGCAACGTAAAGCCTTACAACATTACTATTCCATGTCGTTATCTGCCTCAATCGAGCAGTGAGAAGAAGACATGATAAGACTCTAAGACCATACGACGCAACGACATGACTCGCTTGAGAAAAAAGAAAAACGGTTTGGGCCCCTGCCTTTCTTCGATTTCTTCCCGGATGTCTTGATGCGCGAGGCTGCAAACGGCATGGGAGTCCCCGCGTCGTGGCATGAGCGCACAAATCTCTAAACAAAACTAGGTTGTGACACCCTGTGGTCCGTGGTGGGTTCAACATATGCAAGAATGAGCTAGATGTGGACCTTCATGCACCAACGTGTTGTTAATGTGAGCAATGTTAATGTTGTTCGGGCTCTTGTTAAATGCAAATACGAAGACTCGATATGCTGAGGCCGTCAGTCTTAGTAGCCCGTCTTATGGCAGCAGGCACGAGAAAGGAGCTGCGGGCAAGTCTTGTGAATGGCTTCTGAACATGCTGACACGCCAACCATGTTCAACGGCATGTATGCTCAAACTGGTATAACACATAAGGACCAATTATTGCTGCGGCCTGCTACCGCTTGGAGCCCCTGCCCATCATATGGGGTCTAGCATTCCTCATCCTAGACTCCCTGGAATCATCATGGGCCAACGTGGATGGTGCTCCGAAAGGATGACGAAATCCAAAGACCAAGCAGGATGGTGGCCATCCACTTCTTTCCTTGTTTGGAGGGTCATAGGGATGGTAGTCAGGTAGTCGCAGGCACACCATCCATGTCACCACGATTCACCGAGAGCGAGCAAAGCATCGCCTGCGCCGGGTCTCCCCGGATAGCCGCCGCTCACGCCTGGCGCAGGCAAAGCCGATATCGATGTCCGGGCCCGACCGGTCTTCCGATGGCTCCGGCCTTCCCAGACATCGATGAGGTGGAACTTGTTGGACTCAGAAGGGAAATTCCAGAGGTTGAAGAACCCTATAGGCCTATAGTAAGACATCTATACTCGAGTACTATCATGTATCCCATAAATGGCCCAGGATAAGAGGTACCCCAGCTGATGGCTCCTGACGAGTCCTTTTGCAGGTCGACTTAACCTCTTGGTTTGAACAAAACAGATCAGGCTTCGAGACGTCAAAGAGACCTTTCGACCTGAAATGACCCCTCCGGCCTCTTCTTGCAAGACCGGAGGAAAGCATGAGATGTGCAACGTAAGGCCATCCGATGGGCAAGCCCAAGCTCTTTCCGAGAAAAAGAAGCCACAACTCCTAGTCTCCCAACCCATCCGCATGCCCCCCGGTCCCACCTCAACGACCTCCACCGCGACCCGTCCTAACTTCCACATCCACTGACCGACCCGGTGAGACCCCCCGGAGGGTGGCCGCCGGTCACTCCGCATGGCTCCCGCCTCCTTTGGGCTTCTCTTCCTCCGAGGTGGCCGCTGTGGTGTGTTCCACGTCGGTGCCGCGGTCCAGCGCGATGGCCTGCTTCAAGGCCTGGAGAAGTGGGTCTTCGTGCTTCCAGGAAGAGCCAAGAGAAGTGCGGCAATCTTTGAAAGTCCACAAACAGCCTCACACGATTTAGGCGCGAGCAAACAGGTCGACTTTGCAAGATATCACTGCCGCATTCCATCGCCTCAAACCAAGTCACAGCCTCCGTGGCTGAAGAACACCTCAAGAGATCTCAAGAGCACAGCCCGGTTTCACTAAAGCTGCTGAGCGATGGCTCAGCGATGGCAACACTGGGTGTGTGGAAAAAGTAGGGAGACCCTCTGGCTCAGGGCCATTGAAATTATTGCATATTATTGCCCCTTTTCCGGGGGGGGTCCAACTGAGGGGTCGTTTCCCTAAAAATCTGGGAATCAAATGGAACCAAATCGTTAGTGCGTGAATGTGCGTGAGATATCCTGCATCCTAGCTAGGAGCAAACTTCTCCTAGTAGCTTACCTCCTTACTCAATGAATTATATATTAATATAAGTAGGGAGCGTATACTTGATTAAGTAAGGAAGGAGGCAGGGCCGAGCGGGCTAGAAAAGAAGACACATAATGAAACAACTCCATCTGCGAAAGGAACAACTTCCGACAAACTCGCTCCAATCTCTTCTCCGAGCGGCAAAAGCTCAAAGGTTTTGGCAGGCCGAGTCATGACCATCAGCAAATGCTCCTGGCAGCTTCTATCATCATCATCTTCCAATAAAGGACCAAGCGAACGAGACAACATCTCGGCGGTGCTCAGAGCAATGTGTGGCCTCTACGAATGTGTGGGCAGCTTAGAACTACTCGTCCCTCCTCTGTCTCTTTCGATGCAGTGAGAAAGCCGCTTGGCCGCCGGAAGAACGAAGAACCTGTGGAGTCCGCCAGTCACGTGTCACAGGGTGCTTGAACCACAAAGGAAAACCAGCGGAAAAAAACGGTTACCCGGTTGCTTCTTTTTGGAAGCCATCTATGAATGAGTCCGTATACAAGTCGATTTCCTCAGGTTTTCACAACGCAGCAATCGCAAGAGTCTTCTCGAAGTGCAAGAGTGGAAGCATTCACTGTTGAAGGAAGAAAGCATGTATTAGCTGAGATGGAGAAAAAACATTAATAGCCTGTGTTTACAAGAAATTACACTGTAGATCCTATGAACGGTTGTCCAATGGTGTCCGGATGCTGTCCACAAACATGACCATCTAAGGTCCCGTGCGCTTGCTGGTCTTGCTGACCTCCGAGATGTTGTCTCCTTTGTCAGCCAGCTTGTCAGCCTGCAAGGACCAAGTCTAGGGTGTGAGTGGGGGAGGTTGTGGTTGGTGGCCCAAGCGGGCAGGATCACCAGGATCGAAGATACACAAGCTGAGTAACCACAACACATCTGGCTCGATACATCTAAGAACATCTAGTGATTCTAGATAGGCTGCTCAGTGATAGTACACTGAAAAAAAGTTACTTGGGAGCAACTGAGCAAGTGTGATTCTGAGGTGATTAGCACAAGCAGGACACCATATAGGACACCAAAGCTCTACACCACTTAGGCGATGGGTCACAAAGCATGTCATAAAACGTATAAAAAAAAACCTCCACATCGGTACCATTCTTAAGGGAAGATCCACCAGTACCATCACCGGACCATCCGGCCGGACGAATCACCTCCGGCAGCCGCACGTCCACGATGTCTGCAAAGGGGGTCACCGAAGACACCTGCCCAGTCGGCGACGGGCCGAGCAGCGAGCCAAGTCGGCGAGCCAGCCCAGTCCGCGATCCGAAAAGCTGCCGGTGGCAAGGGTGGCAAAGGGTGGTGTATTTCAATAGGGAGACACCCGAAAGCTTTTTGATTGGACAGACTGGTCGTTTCGTCGCCTTCCGCAGCGGGGGGCGTTGCCCTTGAGAGGATCTCCCTAGTTGACACATCCACGTCATGAGGCCAGAAAACTGGAACACCCTCAGCTCTTCTAGCCCATATCTTAGAATGGAATGCTCATGGAGTTTTCCGACCACCCATGAACAAGACCCCGCCCCCCAACAAATTCCAGGATCCTCCGATGACAGGGAAGAAATATGAAGAACATGGGTTCTAGGATGCTCTAGGATGATGGCTCCTGAATGAGCCTTCTATAGTTTATTTTCACGTGGGCCTGGAGGACCGATAGATGAGTGACCGAAACGCCTTCTTGCTCCCCTCAGAGTGCGTGTAGAAGAAGGTGTGAGTATCAAAATCCAAGGTGAAGTACCTCTTGTTGTACCTCAGTGTCTAAAATGGCAAGCATTTGCAAGCTGAATATTCACTGCCACTCCTGACGAACAAAAATACATGACAATAATACCAAAAAAGAAGTCACTGACTTCAACGTCTGGCGATGCTTCTCTGGGCCATCCAAAAAGCGGGAGACATCGCACAACTGGACAGCAGAACTTGCTCCTATAGTAGCGATGCCCCTTGCTCCGAACATAGCTTCTTGCTCCTAGTAGTACGGCCAGGAGCCCCGTTCGTAGCGTCCCATCGCTCCGTTCGAGTCGCGCTGCCCCGAAAATGCTCCGCCCGAGTCGCTCGCGGTCCGAACGTCGCGTCCATTCCTCGCCCACGCGCCACTCGGAGGAACTGGGAGTCCCGGGCTCGCGCATCCGAAACGCCGAGGTGCCACTCTTCTTCTTCCGAAGCCTCGGGCGATGGGCTCCGGCTTCTGGTGGGAAGGCTCCGGAAGTGACGGCTAAACAGACGACCTGAGACGACCCTGGGGACGGGCTTATCGATCTGGTTGTCTGCTTGGAAAAAGTGGTCAATGTAAGATATGCGTCAGTTTCATGGAGGGTCCAGATGGTCAAGGGTTGTGAAGCAGGATTTGAACGTCTCTTCACACCTTCCGCCTCTGATGGCCGAAGTTCACCACAGGTCCACCCCATGGGCGTGTACGTCTTAAGATCCCGGGCCATGCGCAAAGCTGTCCCCGGTGGGTGCCATCTGTACCCATGATTAATGTGTAAAACCCACTTGTTTATCGATGGAAGTCCGTGGCTGCTACTAGCTGCGCTCACCCTCGTGACGCAGTGGGTGTTGGACTTCCCTATAGCACACTCTTCTTAACAAATCTTGCGAACCCTGTAATAGCATATATAGTAGCATTGTGTCTCCAAGTTGCTTGCGATGTAGCATTGTTGCAACTGGCAGTTGCGGAGTGACCCAATGACTTGCCAAGTATCCCTTCAGGAAAACATTGAAGTCACTACCAAAACCACGTGGAGCATTCGCTTGCTTGAGCCGCATGAGCCGCTTGAGCCAGAGAAGCCCACCATGCTCCGAGTGTGTGTTCTTGCAAACAAGTCTCCCAACCGTCGGACGACTGTCGGCAGGAAAGCATGAATTCGACGAATCGATTCTCTTCGGCGTCACTGGACATGTCAAAAATGAGGCAGGTGATGGATCTCTCCTATGGGAGTCTTGGGCCTCGCCAAACTTGGCTAGCTCCAGAAAGACTTCTTCGTAGAAGGTTTCCAAATGCTCCTCACGTGCCGTTTGCCGAAGCCGGCGGTCTCAAATTGCAGTTCCGGACAGTTGTGAGGATGCCATGGCACTCCAAAGTCAAGGCCAAAATACCAGCTGGATTTCTATCATCAATATAGTCACCCTTTCCACTTCCCAGGTTTCAGGGGCGAAGGCAGCCATTCTTCAAACACGGCCAGGTATTGAGTGCGGACATTGCAGACATGTCTAGGTCTAGTTCACTGCACTTAAAGTCTTTCAGGCTGCTTGCGGACCAGTTCTCCTGCTGGCGAGCATAGGTCTCATCATCCCATTCATCGTCATTGGCCACAGCCATGGCTTCTGGGATGCAAGGGTACCTAGGCCAACAGCTGCATGCATCAAACACCAAAGCCAAACACGACCGATGTCTGTCCTATATGCCTACATTGACCCCTCAAACCACCCTTAATGTACGTAAATATACCATACATGGAGTGTCTTGTGATCCCAAAGTGGCCAATGCCACGACTGAGGCCAAGGACATGTGCGGAATGAGAATGGTGTGACCACTGGATGGCTTCACATGCGCCTCAGCTGCACGTACAGCATCTTGCAGCCATATTGTTCCTTGCTGTCTTTCTCTTTAGAATTCGTTAACCTAATTGCTCTGAATTATTGATGATCATCCAGGAACAAGGAGTAAACTGATTTGGGTATCGAGCAACTTTGGAATCACTTGAGGCACTTGGCCATCCACGACTTGGTTGGTCGAGTGTTGTGACTCAGAGTCAGGCCCTATTGCAGCGGTCGCCATTTCTGCAAGCACCAATTTTGAGGTAGAATGGACAATTCACTCGGTCCTCACACAACCCAAAACGGTGGCATAGTGGAGACAAAGCAGGTACAGGCTTTCGAATGGTCCTTAAAATGAGTGTGCAATGATTGTGCCGTATCTCGACTCTAATTATTTGGATTCTGAGTTGCTGAATTGAAGAGCAAGAACATCTATTCAAAACTTGGCTTTGAAGTTGCATTTTCGGAATTGACCACTCGATGATGGTGGTCGAACAATGTCAAACATGCTTGTCCAACCTCTCAGTCCATTCTTTTCATGTAACGAGTCACGTGGTACACGGGGAAATATATGTATATATATATATATACAATAGTTATGTGTATATACAAAAAAATATATTAGTTACTGTACAAACCAGAAAACTAAGTTGGTACAGCCCAGAGCTCACAAACTGGAGAGAATGAATGCATATATAATCATCTTGTATATTATGTATATTATGAGTAAATACAAGTTACATCAATATACTATATAGTAATATAGCAATGGGATATAATGGTATGCAAAGGGTAGAATACATCAGAATACAACCTGTCTTTAGCGATATAGACTCAGCGTCTAAAGTCTAGTGTTGTTGTAAATATATTGACAACAACCGCATCTGGTCTTGCGTTCTTGCTACTTCCACCAAAACTGAAGCTACTTGCACACAACAAAGCCAACTCCAGCTGTGTAAACAACGGTGTTGGCTGCTCCACGTTGGCTCCTCCTCTGCTATGAAGCCTAGACCTCGGACCGGGGAGGCTGAAAAGTCTTGAACGAAGCAAGTCGGCAAGGGAGATGAATTCACTATATAAATCCGTTGATGAATTAAGGTTCCCAATATGTTTCTAAGATTTCGAAGATGTGTTTTTTTCAAAATCGATATTTACCATCTAACTGGGAAATTTAACATGTTGATTGAAATATCATCAAGAGTTCAAGAGTATGTCTACATTACATAGCGATTGGGTGTTCTTCCGGCCATGGACCTACCCACTGTCTGAGGCTCTATCGTCCTTCCAAAGCAGTTCTCCGAGGCTGCAACTATCGTCCTTGTTGCTCATAAAGCTAAAGTCGAATCCATCCCGCGCATTCCGAGGCATGGGCCTCGGACCGACCCACCGGCGCGACCGGTGCGACCGACCCGAACGGCCGAAGGGGCGAGGGTGGATGGTTCGTTTCAAGCCGCGCGCGCGCGAAGAACGGCTCAAGGGATGGGTCGGATGGGTCGTGAAGCACCGGTTGAGCCTTAGTCTCCACGTCTGACCACGCCACGTCTGTCCACGCTACGAGTCTGAAGACCAGGATGGTTGTCAACATCTTCCCAGAGACATGGATTAAAACAACGTTTTTGGATAGGCCAGGGGAGGTTCTGAATCAAGAGGTCTAACATGAAAAAGGAACAAACACCATTTCGTTCTCCTGGTGCCACATCGACCCCCGCCTCGACGCCGTGACGACGTACGGCGTCACCCCTTGTTGGTTTCACGTGCCCCGGCCGTCTAATCTGAGCCAAAGCCGGTGGGAGGCGTTCCAAGTCGAAGACGGTGAAGAGAACCGTGGTTTGTCCATGTCTTGACATATTGATGTTTGATGTTCCATGTCTTGCCTGTCTGTCGCGTGGCAAGATATGCAGGGGCCCATCACATGGGGACGGCCCATCACATGCTGGAACTGTTCCTCTTCCGGTGCCATTCACAGGTGTTGAAACGTGGCGGCTACATTACTCTTGGCCTTGAAGTCACTGTCTTCAAGTCACTTGGAGTCATTTGTAGCTGTTCAACTGAAGAACAAGACCTAGCCTGGACCGTTTGTGCATAGTGTCTGTCAATCTCGAGCATTTTTATCTGCATGTAACAACTGCAGGGCACGAACGCTTGCTTGAGCAAGCGCTCAAGCAGTGGACATGTCAGAAACCCAAAAGAAGCTGGATCCGCCAAGTTTTCTTTCACATCCATCACATTCTGCAAAACATGGGTGACCATTTCTGCAAGCTCGTCACGTCGTCCTCAAGCAGGAACTCCGTGCGTTCTGAAGAACTGCAGCCACTCAGGTCGGCATCTGAGGACTCTTGCTGACTGTACTGCTACCTGGGCAAGCAGTCACACCCTGGCACACGAGAAACATCTTCCAGGTATCAATACTATCAACGCAAACACTGCCCATATATGAAGCTCTGGGGGGCAAGAGCTTGATCAAGTGCCACCAGTGGTAGGACCTAGTACCAGCTTCCAATAACCCGGTCGTGCTGTCCTCCTATCATTACAAAGAAAAGGCAAAAACGGGCAATCATGCATGCACACACACACACACATGTATCTGCACTTATCATGTGCTGTCCTTGCACAGGCCACTCAATCACTTGACTTGGGCCCCCGGCATTCCAAGCAGTCCCTGTGAGAGCAACGCAGTTAAGTCCTGCAGGTACACGTTCATGTCCGGAACGCACATCATTCGGCTTTCCACGCCCAAAAAGAGCAAGAAACTGCAATATAATGTGCCAAGCCCATGGGCTTCACCAGCCCCGAAGGAGCTATGTTCTCCTATGTTCCCATACTTGGGCCACCCTATATCAACCCTACAGCCATTGTACTTGTTTGGATGTGAAGCCAATCCTAGCCCTCTCCTCACCATGCGGATTTTGACCAGGAGCATAGCGCAGCATCTGCGGTGTGACACCCAAGCCGCGAAGATGGCGGCCTCGCACCTGGCGAGCGAGGAGATTGAAAGGATTGGATTGGAATTGGCAAGGGAATTGGTGAATGACTAATGACTCAGTGAATGACTTCAATTACTGTGAATAGAAGGGTAGGGCTTCGAACATGAGTGAACACTGGGGAGAAAACACTGATGCGAAGGAACACACTGGTGTAGCAGTGATTAGCAGTTTCTCATTGCCTGACTAGTTGTTTTATCAGTTTGTAGATAGCAACGATCGCCTATAGCTTGTTTAGTCTTTGTTCAGCAAGGTGTGATTCATCCGTAAAGCGACAAACGTATACTCAAATCACTGAAGGATCAAAATAGTTTCATGTCCTTGTCCGGCTGGAGAATCAACTTACATAATCATAGAATCATATATATATACATATATATATATATACTTGTATAATTATATATATATGCACATATATAATTACCCTGCTTGCAAGATTGCCACCAAGCTTTGCTCCTAGACATGAGCGGTCAGGCGCTTTTAAGGCATCTCCCAGCTGCAGCGTCGTGCAAATTAATCTCACTAATTGGCGAAGAGGCACAACAACAAGTTGGCGTGCTGACTAGTGCCATCGCAAACTGGGCACCAGTCTTCATACCAGTACCACTTTCCAAAAAAAAACGATATCCGAGGTATCCTCACTCAACGCAACCAGAAAAATGTGACACAACGGTTCTCACACTCATCTTACTCTCACTCCTCTCTGAGACATAGGTTGTTCACTCCGCGATCTATGGCGATCTCACCTCAATGGACTACAAGACTCCTAGTGACCAGACTCCTAAACTCTAAGCATCGTCCCCTCCGTCTCCCTCCTCTCTACCGCAACCGCCTCCTCGCCCCGAGGCCGGACCAGACTCCACGGATCGTACCTGACGAGGGATTTTTGGGATGGGGAAGGATGGGGGAACAGATGGATCCAACAAAGGCGCTCTTCAGCCTCAGTAAGACTAGGCAGGAAACAGTGCGACTAGGCAGGAGAGACCAGGTGACAACATCCACGATTATGATTAAAGAGATGTGTTTGTCTGACTGTGTGTGTTTGGTGTTGAAAGAAGCTTTAATTCCACTCCATAGACTATTGAAATTTAGGGGTAGGAATTCCGGTGAATAGTGGAAATTCACCCCCCCCCCGTATCTATCCCATAGGTACTCTCATAGGTACCCCAGCAGGCGGTAGGGTCCTTTTTCAGGTCTTACAGCCTCTCTTCGTTGGTCGCATCGCTGAAAAATGAACAGTGAGGAATTGGCACCATAGTCCGGACGTGGTTCTTCACAACCGTGCCAATCCTACTACTCCTACTACTCCTCCTCCTGCTCCTGCTCCTGCTCCTCCTCCTCCTACTACTACTACCCACTACCCACTACCCACTACTTACTACTTGCTACTTACTACCCACTACCCACTACCCACTACTTACTACTTGCTACTTACTACTTACTACTTGCTACTTACTACTTGCTACTTGCTACTTACTACT